CAATGCATACCCCATACCAAAGTTAGCCTTCTTTAAGTCCAAAGTGCTAGTTTCAGATTTAATTGTGTCACACTCCATCTTAATGAAGAATTCTACCAAAGGATCCTGCACCACAAGGTTGCTAATTAATCCTCTCTCATTACACAATACCCAGTCTAGGATAGCTTGTTCTTTATTTGGTTCCTTGACACATTGGTCAAGGAAACCATCTCTCATACATTCCAGGAAATCCTCCTTCATCATATTGATGTCAGTTTGATTGAAGTCATCCATAATAACTGCTATACCTTTACAGCATGCAGCTCTAATTTCCTGATACAGTCCCCAACTACTGTTTGTGATCTGTACACAACTCCCACTAATGTTGTTTTCCCTTTGGTGTTCTGCAGCTCCACCCATGCAGATTCTACATCGTCCAGGCTGATGTCTTCCCTTACTATTATGTTAATCCACTCCTTAACTAGCAATGCTACCCCACCTCCCTTTCCTTTCCATCTATCTTTCCTGAAAATTGAATACCTCTGGTCATGGAGTTCCCATCCTAGGTACCCTGGAGTCAGATCTGTGATCCCAATTACATCATATCCATTAATAACTGTTTACTAGGTTAATTCATCCACCTTCTTACAAATACAATTGACAAGGATGGAAATGGTGTACAAGGAATGGGATTTGTGGTAAGGGCCAATAACATTAACTTCAGTCTTCCCAATTCTTAGTAGCAGGAAATTTTTGTTCATCTGATACATGTTAGATAAATAATGGCAAATCAGAGACAACTGAGTGGTCAACATATACAATTATAGCCATCTACTTGCACCTTCCTGACTTCACATTTACCTTAAAGCATCCTTGCCTTCATTTATCATTGAATCAAAAGCATTTTTAGTGATGAAGTGAATTGCTTAAGTATTACTGACTGAGGATGGCAAGGGCACAAAATGTACTCTGGGTGGGGGATTTCAATGTCCACCATCAAGATGGCTCACCAGTACTACTGATCGAGCTGGTTGGGTCCTAAAGGACATAGCTGCTAGACTGGGTCTGCGGCAGGTGGTGAGGGAACCAACATACTTGACCTCATCTTTATTAATCTGCCAGCTGCAGTTGCATCTGTCCATGACAGTATCGGTAAGGGTGACCATCGCACAGTCCTTGTGGAGACGAAGTCCCGCCTTCACAGTGAGAAGGACCTCCATCATGTTGTGTGGCACTATCACTGCGCTAAATGGGACAGACTTCGCGCAGATCGAGCAACTCAAGACTGGGCATCCATGAGGCACTGTGGCCATCAACAACAGCAGAATTGTACTCCAACACAATCTGTAACCTCATGGCCCGGCATATACCCCATTCAACCATTACCATCAGGCGTGGGGATCAACCCTGGTTTAATGAAGATTGCTCGAGGGCATGCCAGGAGCAGCACCAGACATACCTGAAGATGAAGTATCAACCTTGTGAAGCCACCAAACAGGACTACTTGCACGCCAAACAGCGAAAGCAGCAAGTAATAGACAGAGCTAAGCGATCCCACATCCAACAGATCAGATCTAAGCTCTGCAGTCCTGCCACATCCAGTCATGAATGGTGGAGGACAATCATATAACTCACTGGAGGAGGCGGCTCCACAAATATCCCCATCCTCAATGACGGAAGAGCCCAGCACATCAGTGCAAAAGATAAGGCTGAAGCATTCACAGCAATCTTCAGCCAGAAGTGCCAAGTGGACGATCCATCTCGGCCTCCTCCAGTGGTTCCCAGCATTACAGATACCAGTCTTCAGCCAATTCAATTCACTCTACGTGATATCAAGAAATGGTTGGAGACATTGCATATTGCAAAGGCTACCGGCCTTGACAACATTCCGGCAATAGTACTGAAGACTTGTGCTCCAGAACTTGCCGCGCCCCTAGTCAAGTTGTTCCAGTACAGTTACAACACTGGTATCTACCCGACAATGTGGAAAATTTCCCAAGTATGTCCTGTACACAAAAAGCAGGACAAATCCAACCCGGCCAATTGCAACTCCATCAGTCAACTCTCGATCATCAGTAAAGTGATGGAAGGTGTCATCAACAGTGCTATCAAACAGCACCTGCTCAGTGACGCCCAGTTTGGGTTCTGCCAGGGCCACTCAGCTCCTGATGTCATTACAGCCTTGGTTCAAACACGGACAAAAGAGCTGAATTCCAGAGGTGAGGTGATAGTGACAGCCCTCAATATCAAGGCTGCATTCGACCGAGTGTGGCATCAAGGAGCCCTAGTAAAACTAGAATCAATGGGTATCAGGGGGCAAACGCTCTGGTGGCTGGAGTCATACCTGACACATAGGAAGATGGTAGCGGTTATGGGAGGTCAATCATCTCAGTTCCAGGACATCTATGCAGGAGTTCCTCAGGGTAGTGTCCTAGGCCCGACCATCTTCAACTGCTTCATCAATGACCTTCCCTCCATCATAAGGTAAGAAGTGGGGTTGTTCGCCGATTACTGCACAATGTTCAGCACCATTCGTGACTCCTCAGATACTGAAGCAGTCCATGTTCACATGCAACAAGGTCTGGACAATACCCAGGCTTGGGCTGACAAGTGGCAAGTGACATTCGCGCCACACAAATGCCAGGCTATGACCATCACCAATAAGAGACAATCTAACCATCGCTCCTTGACATTCGATGGGTTACCATCATTGAATCACCCACTATCAACATCCTGGGGGTTACCATTGATCAGAAACTCTACTGGACTCACCACATTAATAGACTGGCCACAAAAGCAGGCCAGAAGCTGGGAATACTGCGGTGAGTAACTCATCTCCTGACTCCTCAAAGCCTGTCCACCATCTACAAGGCACAAGTCAGGAGTGTGATGGAATACTCCCCTCTTGCCTGGATGAGTGCAGCCCCAACAACACTCAAGAAGCTTGACACCATCCAGGACAAAGCCACCCGCTTGACTGGCACTACACCCACAAGCATTCACTCCCTCCACCACCAACGCTCAGTAGCAGCAGTGTGTACTATCTACAAGATGCACTGCAAAAACTCACCAAAGATCCTCAGACAGCACCTTCCAAACCCATGACCACTTCCATCTAGAAGGACAAGGGCAGCAGATATATGGGAACACCACCACCTCCAAGTTCCTCTCCAAATCACTCACCACCCTGACTTGGAAATATTTTGCCGTTCCTTCACTGTCGCTGGGTCAAAATCCTGGCATTCCTTCCCTAATAGCTTTGTAGGTCAACCCACAGCAGGAGGACTGCAGTGGTTCGAGAAGGCAGCTCACCACCACCTTCTCAAGGGCAACGAGGAATGGGCAAGAAATGCTGGCCAGCCAGTGACACCCACATCCCGCAAAATGAATAAAAAGAAAAGTCGACAAATGTGTCTCTAAACTGCTATGATACCGTTCAAAGATCTTGGACTTAAGGAAGCAACGATGAAGGACTCACTGAAAGGACTAGGGTTAGGGGTTGGTCAGGGAAGAAACGAGGGAATCGGTGGGGTCAAGAGAGTTGGCAGCTTTGGGGAGAAAAAGAAGGATTTGAGGGAGACAGGAGGAGTTAGGGGATAGGAAGAAATGTGGGAGTCAGGGGAGGGGGGGTTGAAATTCAAGATGTTGGCAGCATAGGCAGTATCTGCGTTCCTCACCCAGGGCTTCTCCATTCCGTCTGTCTTTCCCCTTTCTTGTTCTTTTTAAACAGTGGAGCAGCGGTGACATCATAGGAGTTGCTTTCTAGACTGGAGGCCCATGACCAGCAGTGTACCATAAGGACTGGTGCAGGGCCAATGCTTTTCATCATTCATATAAATGATTTGGATGTGAACATAGGAGGTATGGTTAGTAAATTTGCAGAGGACACTAAAATTGATGGTGTAGAGGACAGTGAAGAAGCTTAAGTAAGAGTACATTTGGACCATGATCAGATGGGCCAATGGGTCGGCGAGTGGCAGATGGAGTTTAATTTTGACAAATGCGAGATGCTGCATTTTGGAAAGGCAAATCAGGGCAGGACTTATACACTTAATGTCAAGGTCCTAGGGAGTGCTGCTAAGCAAAGAGATCTTGTAGTTCAGGTTCACTGCTCCTTGAAAGTGGAGTCGCAAGTAGACAGGATAGTGAAGGCGGTGTTTGATATGCTTGCCTGTATTGATCAGTTCATTTATAGGAGTTGGGAGGTCATGTTGCGGCTGCACGGGACATTGGTTAGGCCACTTTTGGATTACTGCATTCAGTTCTGGTCTCCCTGCTATAGGAAGGGTGTAGTGAAACTTGAAAGGGTTCAGAAAAGATTTACAAGGATGTTGCCAAGGTTGTAGGGTTTGAGCTATACGGAGAGGTTGAATAGGCTGGCGCTATTTTCCCTGGAGCGTTGGAGGCCAAAGGGTGACGTTACAGGGATTTAGAAAATCATGAGGAGCAAGGATAAGGTTAACAGCCAAGGTCTTTTCCATGGGGTGATGAAGTCCAAAACTAGACAGCATAGGTTTAAAATGAGAGGGAAAAGTTTTAAAAGGGACCTATGGCGCAACTTTTTCACGTAGAGGGTGCTGCGTGTTTGAAACGAGCTGCCATAGGAAGTGGAAGAGACTGGTACAATTACAACATTTAAAAGGCAACTGAAAGGCATATGAATAGGAAGTGCTGGCAAATGGGACATTTTACCTCGTGTTAAAAGGTACAGTGGCAGACTTCTGTGAATGCAATTAGTCGCAGACCACCACATTGAAAAGAATTACACCCTCAACCCAGGTTTCACTCAGAGGTCTGACTTTTACAGTATAACATCAATACGGATCATAAACCGCCTTTATTAGTATGGATATTTAGGAGTATTTTTGAATCAAGTTACCACAGTATCAGCTCAAAAGGTTTCTGCAAGTTGACGTGCAATATCAAAAATGTACAGGTTTGCTACAATACTGGACAATTCAAATTCTTCAAATAAATTTGGAATATTAATATCTGGACCCAGAAACAAACTGTTTATGTACCTGTTATTTGACCATTATGCTCCTTCAGTTCATGATTCTCCAACCTCTGGTTTCCATTTTTCTTATAAACAGGAACTCCAAAGTTACTGGGGTTAAATGCTATCTCTGCCAAAATCAGAAAAAAAACTAATAAAAATTCACATTAATCATCCAATCTTCACTGTCAGGAAGGGTCCCAGAACTTTCAATTTGAGATTTCTAAGGATAGCTTTAGTAGACCAGATCAAACAGATTCCTTTATTTCAAAGAACTGCTCGATTCATTCTCCACAAGTGATCCAGTAAGTTGTAGGTTTATCCTCAGAGGTGAAGGTACAGTTATAAACACCTGGATTTCCAATAATAAGTATGCAAGTGTAACTGATATCCGATCATAGAAACAGAATACTCAACTCTTCAATGATAGCAATCTAGATAATCACATAATATGCTTAACTGCAATTTCATAGACCATACAGGCATTATTTGTTTTGGAGTAAAACACCAACGTAAAGCACTTCTTCAACATCTATCACAATTTATGATCTTAGTCTGAATTGGTATTCTTTTATTGCAGGAATCCTACCTTCATTTAACAAATCAAATTTACTGATTAACTTTATAAGTGTATGTTCCTTTTGATTTTTTCCTCTCATACACCCTCCCAGCCTTCATATCTTAGCCAGTTGATAATTTCTCACCCTTAAAATCCCCAAAAGGTCCAGTTTTAATTTGTTTCTAACTCCTAATTATCTGTAGGCTTTTGAAGCTAATAGTTCAGTAAATTGCTTAATCTGAAAGCAGCAGAAACATGACAAAATATCGTGCCAACAAACGCGTACTACAGGAGTGACTGACTCTTTTTCCCATAATTTGAAGGTTACTCCACTGTGCCACATTAGTTGTAAGGGCATAGCTTGAAATGTACCAATTCATGCAAATGTATCAACAGCATTTTAAGGAAACTGGTATTAATAATCTTGCGCAGTGGAAAACTCACCAGTGTTTATATATTTATCCCTAGATAGAGTTAGCTCAGAAGAGTCATACCAGTCTCGAAACATTAACTAAGTTTCTCTGTCCACAGATGCTGCCAGAGCTGAGTTTCTCTAGCATTTTCTGTATATGTTAAAAGTTAGCACAGAACTAATTAAATACAGCTTTTATACATTCCCAATGAGCCCATATAACAAAGTCAATATGCTATAATTTTCTGGTGTAATCTGGCAGTTTCACAATTCAAGGGAAGGCAACGGCCTAGTGCTATTATCACTGGACTGTTAACCCATATACTCAGGTAATGTTCTGAGGACAAGGCTTTGAATCCTGCCACGACAGATGGTGGAATTTTAATTCAACAATAATCTGGAAAATCTCACAGAATGCCACAGCGGAATTAATGGTCTGAATGGCCTACATTTGTTGCTATCTGATGGTCTTTCTTAACTCTAGAATATGAGATATAAAGTATAGACTTTGTGCTGATTATAAGTATCAGTGTAAAATTGCTTTCAACATAAAAACACCAACCTATGAGCATAACTAATAATCTTTCTACTTTATCTTAAAAGTTCGCTATTATGGCTGGTTCATGTGGCTCAGTGGTTAGCACTGCTGCCTCACAGCGCCAGGGACCAGGGTTCAGGGTTCAGTTCCAGCCTCAGTCAATTGTCTATGTGGAGTTTGCACATTCTCCCCTTGTCTGCATGGGTTTCCTCCGGGTGCTCCGGTTTCCTCCCACAGTCCAAAGATGTGCAAGCTAGGTGAACTGGCCATGCTAAATTGCCCGTAGTGTTCAGGGATGTTTAGGTTAGGTGCATTAGACATGGGAAATGCAGGGATAGGGGAAAGGATCTGGGTGGGATGCTCTTCAGAGGGGCGATGTGGACTTGTTGGGCCGAATGGCCTGTTTCCACACTGTAGGGATTCTATGATTCTCTAACTTACGTGTCCGATCTTGATTCCAGGCGTGGCATGTTATTGGCTCAAACAAGAATTGATGGCGAGACATTCTAGTGTCAGAATTTCCATAGGACAGTCACAGAACCTGTAAGATTTTATAAAGTGAAATAACATTTGTTTTCAACACAAACTTATTCCAAGAACGAACATACATCTCCCTTCAGTTTGTCTATTGACAGGGCACTGAATGCCCAATTAGCGACCACCACCTGCATGCTATTAAACAACTTACGTAAAATTAATAGATTCCCCCCATTCTAAATACAACTTAGATTTTATTCGTACGACTGTGATTTCTAAAACAAAATCAAAAACCTGTATTAATTGAGACATTATATCGCAACTTGCCTCTCATTTAGGATGTTTCACGGTTTGTGACGTAAAAAGAAAAGCACACACAAACAATTGATTTGTAGCCACCCATTAAGAGATTTCTTCCTCTCCAGCACATTTCAAGCCAGAAACATGAACCTGTAACCTTTTCTTACTCATGGCTATTGTAGGTTGTATAATTATTGATTACCTATTTGATATTAAATGGATGTTGTATCTTCTGAACATCAAGAGTATAGAACCTCACTTGTAATTTTGACAAATTGAATCTGCTATCCACTGCCTTCACAATAGCCAGTCATTGTATAGTTGAAGTACTTTTCACATCTTTACACAGAGTGGTGGGCATGTGGAATGCGCTGCCGGTAGTGGTAGTAGAGTCAGATACTTTAGAAACTTTTAAGCGACTCTTGGATAGGCACATGGAACATAGTAAAATGTAGGGTATGCAGGGTAGATTGATCTTAGTAGGATAATAGGTCGGCACAGCATTGTGGGCCAAAGGGCCTGTACTGTTCTATGTTCTACAACCCTTTTATCTTTCCAAGCTATAAAGAAACATTTCACAATTTCACTCATATGGAAAAAAAGTAACCGGCAAGACTAGAAATCTGAACATATGATTGATATGCAAAGCATTGTAAAAATTACTTGCTGTACATTCTTTGGGACATGGAAGGATGGAAAATTAATCATCCATTTCTTCACACTTAATTTTAATGTTTTATGCCATTAAAACATTCCAGACTTCAGGGTGTTTCATCACAGTACTCAAGTCTAACATACTAAAACTAAATAGTTGAGTCTAGTCTGAGTGACCAACCAGTACGACTGATCAAACAAGGTTCACAGTTGCTCTGTCTTCTCTTTAAAATACAACTTTAACTTGAGAGCCTAGTTTGATTAACTAGAATGAGCATAAGTCATTTAACAGGATTATTAATTTTAGATTAGTCCAGCCATATCCTGCTTAATAGCTAATATGTTTAAAAGTCCCACAAGTCTGACTCCCATTTCACTCCAATATTAATACACTTCCTAAATTCCATTGTGCCATCCCATAAGAAATTCGAATGAACCTTGAAGATGCTTAAACGTTTTCCTTTATGATACCAGCAAAACACTATGGGATCTGCTTTTAGTTGAACATAACCTATTTTCAGCAAAATACACCTGAATAAAAAATACCACACCCTGGAAACATCATTTGGGCTACTGATGCACTTGACCGTATTGAATAATTGGTATCTTAAATGCCATAACTCTTTTAAGTTTCACAATTAGTCACATTATATCATACAGTCCCGAGGTACTGCATTCTGCTCCTCAGTAAACATCACAAAACATGAACATTTGAAGTACAAGGTACCTTGTTTACTTCTTTCAAACGTTCAGTCTGTGATTTTGTAAAATTGTGAAATGAATTTACTAGCTTGCCTTGTCTAATAAATACATTCTCTACATCATGATTATTTTTTCTCTGTTGCCCATAATCTCATTATACAACAGGTGGGTCCCGGTTCAGAGCTTCACCCGCGACCCCCGCCCCGAGATGGGCCCACTAACGCCACCGCAGCCTCACCGCCCCGCCCTGCACCGGGCCCACCATCGACACCGAAACGTCAAAAAGAAAAAGACCAAAATAAATGCGGCCGGCCTGAGTCGCGGACGAGCGGGGGCTCAGGAAACCGAACACTGGCTGTCCCACCCCCGCCATCTTGGAATGGTAAACCCACTTTGATAAACTCCAGGGGAAATGTGTATTTCTGACCATCTGGCGCTGTAGTAACTCACTACCCAACTTCCTCGGTTATTGAATCTTGTTCATTTTTGTTGGATCCGCTCGGTTATGTTGCCAGCCTCCCCCGTTCCGATGCACTCCCACACCGAGCCTGAACCCCAGGTTAGGGGCAGGTC